GTGTGTGTGTGTGTGTGTGTGTGTGGAGGTTTCTTGGTGAGCCTTCTATGAAGGCAGAGCGGAAAGGGACTAACAGGACTTCAGAACTTATCCAACCAGCTGATCTTTGGCCTGAGAGTCTCAAGCTACTTCTGGTGTGTTAAGAAGTCCAGATGTGGCTCTAGAGAAACCATTTGGACTGAGATGTCATGCTTATTGCTTTTAGCTTAAATTAAATGAAGGCAGTCGTTAATATCATGCTGCTTAGACGTTATCTATATCTTTGATCAATATAGTATAAATGCCTTTAATCAGAATGTTAATCTCATCAGCTTGGGGGAAAAAATAAATATTGTGAAATTTTAATTTAAATTACCGGTTGTGCAAACACCCAAGGGAATGGGTCGCTGTGCCTGCAAGCGCAGTCTCGGGACGGGGAGGTCAGTTGGTGTGGCACGGCCCACAGAGATAGAGCTGTGTATCCTACTGTAGTGACGAGTGGCGGGAGCCTTAAAAGTTCATGAAGGTACAGCCTAGGTGCAGCTCTCGGCCCCCTGTCTGAAGGCAAGAGCAGCAGAGGAAGTCTGAGACCCGGGCGACAGTGAATCCAGCAGGTTACTAGACCACAGCCCTGAGACCAGGCCGAGGTGGTGCCCAGTGACCGTGCCAGCTGCTCTCAAAGAGGTCACATTCGAGTGGAAGACAGATGTGGAACAGAAATCCAAATCCTCTAAAAGCAGACCTCCTGGTTGGCTGGGGACTGGTGGAACCCCTGAGACCATGGCCCGGAGTTACCCTTCTTCATGTCTGGGGTGGAACTCACTGTATGAAATGGCTCCATTTTCAGCCAAACAGTAGCCGGGCAGGGGTAAAGGAGGAACTAGAAACACTGTGTAAAGCATTGGGTTGCTAACTAGAAGGTTGGAGGTTCAAACCTCCAGCCTTTCCTAGGGAAAAAGATGAGGTTGTATGCTCCCCTAAAGACCGATAGTTTGAGGAACCTTACACAGGGCCACTTGGGTGGAAAGCCACTCAGTGGCGATGGACAGGGGTGGGGGTTAGTAATACCGGGGAAGTAGGCACGCCTTCAAGTTGTCTGCCATTTGAGACAGGAAGAGCAGCCTTTGCCCATGGGCACCATTCAGAAGGGCTGGGGAAGAAGGGACGATGACGGCAGGGGGGACATGGGGATCGCAGTAGATGAAACAAAATGTGTATGAGCGAGCCATTGAGTGGCTCTGATCTGCTCTGTAAACCTTTACCGAATTCAAGCCAGCAAGGGATCAAATAAAAATACTGGTTGGGTTGCAGCCGCCCATTGGTTGCTCCACGAGAACTCCACACCACGTGTGCGTGCGCACCTAGTCAGTTGTCTGTGTCTCAGAGAGGTGCGAGGCAGAGAAATTACCCAGCAGGCTCTTGGCATAGCTGCTCTCTTTCTCATCCCCCTGCCTTGCTAACTCGTCCGTACTCCAGCCTCGCGGCTCACCACTGTGCTCGTCCTTTCCAGAGAGGGCAGGAAAAGGGCCAGAGCTTTCGGCAGACGATGGAACTAGATGGTACCCACCAAACCGTCTCCTCCACTGAAATCAGGATCAGGGTCCTGCTGCTGACACGCTTGGGATCCGCTCGATGGCAGCGAGCGATGAGGGTCTCACTCAGGCCGACAGGCTGTGTAGTGAGCGCGCTCCTCGTTGCTGACGGCGAGCTCTTTAAAGGTTTGATCACACTTCAAAGGACGGCTGTGTTCATGACAAACTGAATGAGAACTGTATTTTGGATTCAGACCTTAAAAGAAATGTAATTATAAGTCAAATAATAGCTGTGTAAAAGACCTTTACGTACTAAATTTTTTTACACACATTTTAAATTGTAAGGTCTTGTTTACAAGTGGATTTAGTTATAGACTAAGTGCGTTGGAATCAACTTGATGGCAGTGAGGAGTGTTTTGGGGTTTTGTTTTGAGGGGATATTTTACAACTCATTGTAAAAAAAACTAAAATCCTCACAACTGGACCAGTAGATGACATCATGAGAGACTGAAGTTGTCAAAGTGCATTTTGCCGAGATCCACAATCAGTTCTCATGGACGCAGTAGTCGAGCGATCAAATGACGTACCGCATCCGTCATGTTGAGAAGTGAGGATGTCACTTTGAGGACTAAGGTGCGCCTGATCCCAAGCCTCATGCGTGTGAACGGTGGACAACGAATAAGGGGACCGAAGGGCTGCCGCCGGTGGTGGTGGAGAACACCGACACACCGCGGACAGCCAAAGGAGCAAGCACGTCTGTCTGTCTTGGGAGAAGTTCAGCCGGAATGCTCCTCAGAAGCAAAGGTGGTGAGACTTCACCTTGCGTATCTTAGACGTGATTTCCGGAGAGACCAGTCTAGAAAAGGGCGCCGTGCTTGGTGGAGCACGTCAGGGAACAAGAAGAAGACGTGCAGTGAAATAGATCACGCCGGGGCTGCACCAGCGGCTCACAGATGAGGGCTCTGGACCCAGGCCAGGCATGAGGTCGCAAAGGACAGAGTCACACTGCAGCCTCGGCTTTCTCCCGTGGAGCGACTGACTGGTTCGAACTGCTGGCCTGGTCGTTAGCAGCCCGACATGGAGCCCATGAGATCTGCCCTGAGGAAGCAGTGAGCGGATCCAGTACAAACTGAGGGCTTTCAGTGGGCACAGGCCACAGGCAACACTCTGTGGCCCCGAGTGGGCATTCTTCTCCCTAAATCAAGCATTGGGTGGGGGCTCCGCAAGTCTGAGGTTGGGCTGCTACAAAAGGGGACGGCTGATGGAGAGAGACCCCTGAACCATCTACTGTGTGTGTGTGTGTGTGTGTGTGTGTGTGTGTGTAGTGTGGCAGCGGTGGGGACATTCAAACATTGTATGTGGGTTTTCACTTTGATCGCAGGTTCTGTAGAAGAATCCTGATCCAAAGGAAGGAAGTGCAGAGCAGATTTTAAAATGCTCGTGGAATTTCTAGCACCGTGGAGGCTCGGGAACCCCCTGAAGTTTTTGCCCTGACACCATCTTTAAACCCTAAACCAAAAAATATTCCACAAAATTGTCTCAAAACCAAGCAATTAAAAACAACGACAAACAGACAATAGATTAGCTTAACTAGTTAAACAAAAAATCTGCCAGTTTCTAAAGAACTGTCTCTCTGTAGGGGGTCAAAGTGGAACCTGCGGGGAGGGGGTCTCTGTGAGCAAGGGGCCAGCCCGGCAGAGGAGGGGAGAAGGCGGAGCAGCTGGAGACGCCGTCTGCACCAGAAACTGCTGGACAGGGCTGTGCTTTGCTGTGTGTATTCCTAAATCAGCAAAATCTTATAAAAACGTAACGGGGTGCCGTGCTGGGGGAAGCACTTGGGCCCCAGCCTGTGTCTCACGAGCCACGTGCCCACCCACCCACCTGCCCGCGTGTGAGGCTCAGTGAGCATGCCGCCTTGTGACTGGCATGGGCTCATGGTGTCTCCACGGAAGCGGTGCCAGCACTTGCTGCTGCCCCTGAGCTAATGCCTGCTGGCTCCGTGGTAAACATAGGCCTTTTAATAAGCTGGAGACAAAGTGACATTCGGAAGAAACAGCATGTCGACAATTTCCTTAATAAATTTTGTACGAACACATTATTTCCACCTAATGGAAATGTAGCTCTTGTAAATAATTGAGAGGCTGTATTCAGTGGTGACGAGTTCAGCCGGGCTCTCTGTGAGCTGGGGCAGCCGACAGCCCTTTGGAAGACTGACTGGGTAACTGATATTCTGCACGGGAGGCTGGACTAGTTCTCGGGTGGGCTCAGTGTGAGCCCCCTGCCGCCCATGCACCACTCTCCTCTGTGTTCCAGGTGGTCACAGAGCTGCTCCCCACGGGGCACCCCGCCAGCCACAGCCAGGGAATTAGTGTTTCCTTTTGAACAGGGGAGCCAGCCCTGTCCAAATCCCACTCTGCTCTCTTACTGTGTCTGCCGACCCGTTGCGTTGGCCCAGGAACCTTGGTGTTCATGAAGGGCGCTGATTCGGGCTGTGCAGCCGGCAGCTCACTGTGGTGTCAGATGGTGGCTCTGTGCTGAGGACCAGGCAGTCTTTAGGGTGCAGGGACAGCCAGGGAGCGCAAGGCCTGAGTTAGAGACCTGTGTGGACTGAGGAGGAAAGAGGGGAAACACGAAGACAGATACAAAGGTGCACATCACTGTCAACACGGACGGGGGCGTTTCTCGGCTGTCTCCTAAGCTATGTGCTTGTGCCCGAAGACTCCGTGGCCACGAGTGGGCCTCTGTCCAAGGGTCTCCCTCAACTCAGCATCTGCAGGCTCCCTGGGGATGGGAGATCCTGGGCAGAGGAGGGGCCTGTTCATGCTTCAGCATGGACATGCATTGACCTGATAGTGCCCGATCAGTTGTCTTATTATTATTCTTCTTATGTTTTTAATTTGCAGGTCGTTCCTGAGATGACAGAGCTACTGAAGAAGAAATGAGTGCCCATCTGCCTGAAGGAGGACGGCTGTCTGAGGTTCAGCTGGAGACATAGGAGTCCGTGGATGAACTGCACATTGGAAAGCTTGAGCTGAATTCCCTAATTTGGGGGCAAAAAAATGAATCTAAGAGCTACCAAAATGTTTTTTTATAGGACGATTCTATTTTAATTAATTTTGGTTCCAATATTTAAAAATTTTTTAACTCTGTAATACAATATAATAAAGCTTTTCCTTAGCTTTAAAACTATTACCAGAAACTTGCCTGACTTGTAAAAAGAGAAAAACGGAAGATGAAAAGTGAGAATGGTGGTGCGGTGGGGTACATGCTGGACTGCTGACTACAAGTTTGGCGGTTCAAACCCTCCAGCCTCCTCTTGGGAGAAAGGTTAGGATCCCGGTTCTGTGAAGATGTACCGCCTCAGGCACCCTGCCCGGAGGCTGGCTGAGAGTCAGAATTGCCTCGACGGCAGCGGGACTTGGGGGGTTGCCTGTTTTGAGAGGGCTCAGCCTTTAGGAGACATGGTAAAAACGCACGTTCCTGCCTCGGCAGCCTAAGCTGAGTATGGCAGAAAGGAAGAGAAGGCTGGAGATTTGAGATCCGCACACTCGGTTTACAAAGTGCGGCCCCAGAGCTTGGACCTTATGTTAGACTGACCTTCAGAAAACCATAGCCGATGGGCCCAAAGTGCAGCTGCCTCAGGCCTCAACCTGCTGAGTAGCTGGCTCCCAGGCACATTACTTTCCCTTCCGTTTCAAGGTTTTGTCTGTTGACGAGCAGTGTGTCTACGCAAGAGGGGACGGGATGGAGGGCACCTTGCCGCAGTGGGGGCTCTCTGTGAACCGGTTTGAGTGCCCTGGCCACCTCGCTCCCTGTGGTCTCCCTGGAAAAAGCAGCGGGCCCGCAGCAAGTCACCCTCGGGTGTGGCTCCCCCCCCACCTCAGCATACACCCTGGTCCTGGTGGACTCGGCATGGCCAGTATTGGGGGTCCTCGCCAGAGCTAGAAGGACCAGGACAGGAGAAGTGGCCGGGAGGACATGGTGATCCACCACCTGGAGGGAAGGCCCCAGAGAGGCCCAGCCCAGCCCACCCCAGGGTGCGGCTACCCCGGGGGGCCCAATCCCTCGCCTCTGCCGGACAGGGCAGGGACGCTGCTGGATTTGTGTCAGAGCCTCTTGCTGTGAGGCGTGTCCCAGCCTTGCTTCAGTGAGGTGACAGGAGAGCAAGAAAGTCCCGCCCAGCTCAGGTCATGTCCGTTCACACACGCGCTGTCCGAGTCCCGGAATCTCAGGCTGTGGAGGTGGGAAAACTGGCCCGGCACTGTCGTCGTGGTCCTTGTCGTCAGGGGTACTGCGGCACAGCGACGACGTGGAGACGTGGAGAAGGGAAAGTGGCATGCCCAGGGCCCCGCAGCCACAGGCGCCTTGTGATGTCCACATCGTGTGGCCCGCTTGCCCTGGGCCCTTTGCATCTGCCCTCCCCTGGGACACTAATTGGAGGCAGGAGAGGACCAGTGCGAGTGGACCCTGGCGTGTGGCTTGCGACCCCAGGGTTCCTAGTGTAAGCCTCCAGCTCCCTCCCGGCTGCTTCAGGGCCCCAGGGAGCAGTTCTTTCCCTGCTTGGGAGGCGATGCTGGCGCACAGCAAGCCCCCAGCACCGAGTAGAACTGCCCCTGTGGGTTTCTGAGACTGACTCTTCACCGGAGTAAAAAGCCTCATCTTTCTCTCCAGAGAGCTTGGTGGATTCAAACCAGTGGCCTTAAAGTTAGCAGCTTAGTACACAGCCCACTACACCACCAAGGCTCTACTCTGTCCTATAGGATTGCTATAAGTCAACTCGATGGCAGTGGGCATGGTTTGGGGTGGGTCCCGGCTGCTGTGCCCCAACCCCAATCAGCTGGCATTTACTGGGTATAACTGTGGACACCCCCTGCCCAGCTAGATCCTGAAGGCATCTAGGGCTCGACGGGGGTGCCGACAGCCCCGTATTTATCCAGAGCTCACATCATGACAATAGAAAACAACAGCAGCAGCACTGAGTACAGCACGGACTGTGTGCCAGGCACCATGCCAACGCTTTGCCCCAACAAGAACAAAAGCCCACTGCTCCCGAGTCAATTCCAACACAGTGACCTTGTCGCGTCCTCCAGCGCTCGGCGTCTTAAATGGGAGCAGATGCCTTCAGCCTTCTCCCGAGCACCAGCTGAGGTGGGTTTGAGCTGCGGGCCTGATTAGCCCGGCACCGCCCAGCAGAACCTCCAGGCTCTTAACCGCACAGCAAATCCCTTCCGTCCGCACTCTGCTCCACGAGGCAAAACCCAAGCCCGTTGCTCGACTCTGCTTCCCTGCGTCAGCTGTCCAGTGACCGTGTCCTTGGGGATCAGCTCACCGGGCCTTCCGGGACATCTCTGCCACTGCAAACCGAAGCTCTGTTCAGGTAGCGTCAAGCACCTAACCATTTGTGGCCGCCGGGTGTCCCACCCCTTGAATTAGGCTCTACCGTTAGTTCCCTTGTACGGGCCAGGAAAGAGAGGCGCTCAGAGGGTCACAGGCCAGGAAAGAGAGGCGCTCAGAGGGTCATGGGCCAGGAAGGAGAGGTGCTCAGAGGGTCACGTAATTTGCAGAAACTCCAGTGGCTTATAAATGACACCAGGCAGTGTTGGACATGAACCGGACAAGAACAACTCAGTCTCTGCTAAGAAGGAAAACAGTTTATTAAAGGGGGACCGAAAAGAGAAAAAAGAGCCTGCGCAGGGCTGAGCCACCTGAGTTTAAAGAGAGAGTGGCCTCGGTTCACAGACTTGGGTTTTTATAGGGTTTCATCAAATAGTTGAGCTGTGAAGCTGAGCAAGCAAACTGGTACAGAAGCAGATCTTGCGGTTAAGCACAATTTTCTGGTACAGGATAGTCTGTTACCAGTTCTAAGAACAAGGGGCTCTTTGGTTTTTCTGAGAATGTCTTAAGGCCTGAGGTTGCACTTTTGGTCTGGTGCAGGATGTTTGCTTCATATAAAATGGCTTTACTTAGGCTAATTATTACATTCCTCCCTGTTCTTGTTACACCTGTGAATCTTCCAGGTGTGAGCTCTCATACGACTGTGGCGGCGGCTCACTTTGGGTTAGTCGCTCGTATGATTTGCTAAGCACCGACAGCTTAACAGATTGTATTCGGTCCTGCACAAACTGGGCTAGCTTGTTGATGATGAGCGGCCCGCAGGTCAGTCTTATTAAAAGCAGGAGTAGCGGGCCAGCTAGGCTGGACACTAAAGTGGTGAGCCAGGGGGACCAGTTAAACATTTGCTGAAACCATTCTTTTTTGCTTTTTCCCATTTACTAAGTCTTTTTCTAACTAGGGCTAAACTATTTTTAATTATTCCTGAATGATTGGCATAAAAGCAACAGGTTTTTTCTAGGGCCATACATAAACCCCCTTGCTTGAGGAACAAGAGGTCAAGACCCCGCCTATTTTGCAGTACTACTTCAGCTAAAGAGTTAAGAGATATTTTTAAATAGCTGACAGTTTTTTAAGTTTTGCAAATTATTAATTTGATGGCTAAGTACTTTATAATTTTTATTTCCTTGTATTAGGGCCACTGTCCCCACTGATACTGCTCCGGCAATACCTAGTCCCACCAGTAGAGGAACTAATATTGGGGCTTTTTTTAAACTCTGGAATAAGTATTAAAATGCTGCCACCCAGCTTGGGGTAAAATATGAATTAATACACACAGTTCAGCATGGTTAGAGGTGAGTAAGGTTGTAGAAAACAGGCGGGGAGTGATTTGAGTAGAGTAAGCAAACCACACTCCTGATGTTTTGCTCCAATCCTTTTACGCTAGTCCTTCATTTTTTTTCTAGCTCCTTCTCCCTTAGGCCACCCTGCTTCAGAGGGCCTTTCTGTTCAGCCTTCCAGTTCTTGTTCTTTCTCTGCCGCTGCTGCAGCCGTTAGACTAATGCCTGCCCTGCGCCCTCGGCTGCAGCCAGCTCTCCACTCTTACACTTTGCCACAGGGCCGCACCCAACATTTTCAGCTCCTCTTCCCCGAACCCCTTCATGGTCACATTCTCTGTCCTTGCTCCGATGCCCTACGGGTCCTTTCTCAGGTAAACCGGCCGACTGGGGCCTGGTGGGCTGCCCCTTCCTTTTCGAAGCACCAGGGTCATTCCCAGGCAGCAGCTGTGAGGCCCACACCGATGACCGCGGCTGGTGGTAAAACCCCACACCTGAAGCTCACTGGGGCGACCTGCGGCTTCTTGGGGCGGCACCGCCTCTGCCCAGGGTGCTCTTCCTGGGTGCAGAGGCTGCGGGGTCTTCTCATAGCCGTTCAGCAGGCCATAGCCGGCTCGGTGGCGTGTCCCTGCGGTGTCTGGAGGGTGGAGGCGCATAACAAAGCGTTGTTAGTGCTGCAGATTTCCTGTACAGCCTGTATAGACTTTAAAAGTTTAATATTAGTGAGGCGATCCAACTGCTCCATTCCCGCCCTAGGTAAGAAGGGAGGGGGTCTACCATACATAATTTCATAAGGCGCAAGGTTTTTAAGGTAAGGAGTATTCCGCCCACACAACAGGGCAAAAGGCAGAAGTCTGACCCAGCCCTTGCCAATTTCTGTGCATAATTAGTTAAAGCTTTTTTTAGGGTTTTATTTATTTTTCCTACCTGCCCTGAGCTTTGAGGCCGGTAGGCACAGTGAAGTTTCCAATTAATTCATAACGCTTTGCTAATAGTTTTAGAAATTTGGGCTACAAAGGCCAGGCCATTTTCAGAGCCAATTTGTAAGGGAATGTTAAACCTGGGGAAGGCCTTAGTTAACAGCAGTTTGCATACCATGGGTGGCTGTCTCTGCCTTGGTCGGGAACATTTTTTCCATCCTGAAAAGGTGTTAACAAAGACTAACAGATATTTATAGCCATACAGTCCTGGTTTTACCTCGGCGTAGTCCACTTCCTAGTATTGGCCCAGGGAGTGACCTTGCTCTCTAGTCCACTTCCTAGTATTGGCCCGGGGAGTGACCTTGCTCTCGATGCTGAGGTGGTTGATGAACCCGGTGGGGGGCATTTATTGGGCGCAAGTGATGCATTTTTCAGCAGCTGCTGGAGTCCACTTCTGGAGGTTTGGAATTTTGCACCTTGTAGACAAATATTGGTACAACTTGGTTCTTCCCAAATGAGTGGTCTTATGAAGATAGTCCACTAGTTCTCGCCCAACTGCTTCTGGAATTAGTCTGTGTAGTCGGGCAGGATTAGCCATCCGTCCGGGTCGTTGACACAGGCCAGCTGGGCTGCCTTTTCCGCCAGCTGTTGGGCTAGCTTAGTTCAGACTCAGAATAGACAGGGTGAACAGGCAGGTTAGGTTGGAGCAGAGTAGACGGCTTCTTACCTTCGATTAGGGCCACTGTCACTCCCAGGTTTTGAACATCCACGGCTGCTTCCTTGGCCGCTTGGTCAGCCAGGTGGTTTTCTTTAATTACGTCTGAGTTTCCTTGGGTTTCCGTGCAGTTATGGATTGGCTTCTCGGCCAGCTCGTCGGGCAACAGGGTTGCAGGGTTGAGCGTGGCTGTTTTGGAAAACTGGACACTGGGTGGGTTTAGCAACAGTACCTGGTACTGGAGCACACGGGCATTTGCTATCCAGCGGTCAGGTGAGCTGCTTAGCAGGCTTTCCACTGAGTGTCCCCCTGTGACAGTAATGTCCTGGCCCAGCGTGAGCTTTGATGCTTCCTTTACCAACACTGCAGTAGCTGCTATGGCCCGCATACATCCTGGCCAGCCGGCTGCTACCAGGTCTAGATTTTTTTGATATGTAGGCCATGGGTCTTTTCCACGGCCCAGGTGCTGCTCAAAGACCCCCTTGGCGACCCCCTTACCTTCTGCTACAAACAGTTAAAATGGTTTTTGCAGATCCGGAAGGGCTAGGGCTGGGGCCAACAGAAGGGCCCTTTTTAGTTTTTTGGTTTTGTTTTGTTTTTAATTATTTTATTGGGGGCTTGTACAATTCTTATCACAGTCCATACATACATCCGTTTTGTCAAGCACATATGTACATTTGCTGCCCTCATCATTCTCAAAGCATTTGCCTTCTACTTTTTTTTAAAAGGGAGCTCCTCGCTCAGGAGTTTTCAGGACTTCCTGCCCCTCTCCTGTGCTTTCCAACAATGGCTTGGCGATTTCTGCAAAACCAATTATCCACAAACGGCAGTACCCCAGTGCGCCCAGGAATTCACAGTCCTTGTGCTTTGTCTCTGGAAGAGGTATCTGCAAGACCGCATTGCAGATACCTGCGGTAGATAACTTTCTTTGCCCCGCCTGGAGCTGGTAGCCCAAATAGGTGGTTGTCGTGACACATAGTTGGGCCTTTTTTCCCCCAGACACCTGATACCTAAGGTGGGCCAAGCGTTGTAGCAGACTTTGGGTTGCTTTTTTTCTCCTTGGGGCAGCCACCATGATTTTTGCCCTCTGCCTTGTGGAGGTTACAGGTAGATCCTCCCTGTTATTATAAACTTTTGGGGCTATTTTCATTAACTTACTAAGATTTTTACCTTCAGACCCCTCAAGCTTTTGCAGCTTTTTGCGGATAGCTGGGGCATGATTGTGTTACAAATGCTGTATTTATGGCCTAGTGATTCTTAGGGGCCTCAGGGTCGATTGGGGTGTACAGCCTATAAGCCTTCATTAGGCATTTAAGGAAAGTGGCTGGTGACTCACCTGTAGCTCTCTGCACTGCCTCGCTTACCTTAGACAAATCGATGGGCTTTCTAGAAGCCCCCCACCCCCCAGTCCCTGCAACAGATATTGGCGGTACCTGGTCAAGGCTTCCCTGCCCTGCGTGTCAATGGGGTCCCTTGTAGGATGCTGAGTTGGAAACAAGGCTTTTTGCTGATGGGGGAAGTTACTGGCTGTCCGTCAACCCCATCTCCTTGGGGTCTTCCCTCTGTCACTGCCCTTCTACTTTAGCCAGCCTGGTGTCCTTCTCCAGAGCCTGGGCTCTCCTGATGCCATGTCCAAAGTACAGGAGAGGAAGTTTGTCATCCTTGCCTCTTAAAGAACATTCTGGTGGTCCTTCTTGCAAGATAGACTTGTTTGTTCCTTGGTCAGTCCATGGCACTTCCACTAGCCCTTCACCAACAGCATGATTCAAATGGGATCTTAATCCTGGTCGAGGGTCACCAGCATGGGAAGCAGTTGAAAATACCATGGCTTGGTGTGGGATTATAAAGAGACTTTTCCCCAGCTTTGTCTCCCCCAAAGACATGCCAAACATTAGGGGCTTTTTGCCTCCATGTGGGGGGAGATCAGATGCTTACAGACATCCTTCTTGAAGACAGTCAGTCACCAGACTACCGCGCTCCCTGCTGTTTAGGAATGGGCTACTTCTCTCTAGAGCCCTGCAGTCATAGTCTGATTCCTGTAGGTGGGGTTGACACCCTACTGATAATGGTTTCTATGGAGATCCAGAGAACAGATCAAACTGGCTCAGTGACATCCAAAGTTAGGCTGCCATCCTGAATCTAGGATCCGCCCATCTTGTCACATGGATACCCCCAATCCCTCCTCTTCCTATTGCATGGATACCCCTAGATTGTGCCCCTCTCATTGCTGTATTACCTATAGTGCAACCCCTTCCTGTGATGTATGTCTTTACCTGTAATTAGTGGGTTTGCACTCCCCCCGAGAAGTATATAGGCCTGGGTTAGCAATATAGAGCTCTCTCTCGGCTCCTCCATTGGCCGCTCCTCCTCCGTCCTCCTTCCCCTCCCTCTCTCCACGTGGACCACCAAGTGAGGCTGAGGTGAGCAATGCTACCGTGAAATGTGTCTGACTCCATTATTTCTATCTCTCTTCTATCTCTCATGCTCTTTATGACTTTACCATAATCTTTACTTATTATCGCTGTACAATTGCGCCTACTGGACCCGTGACGATGTGCTAGGGGCTGGTTTCCCCTCGCAGCTTGGCACACCTGTCTTCACAGGGACCTCTCGCTCTTTGACACTTTCAAGAAGTCTCACACAGCTGCCTTGCCTAGTGCAGTATGCTGTCTGCTTTCTGTTCACATTCACAGAAGCAGCAGTCAAGAATCGGTTGCCTAAAGTGGAGCCAAATGACTGGCCTCTCTGACTCACCAGCTGTGCTGGCCAGACTCTGAAGCAAACCCCCGGATGTCCGAAACCCTATGTAGCCTGGACAAGAAAAACAGCCCCTACCAGGCTGTTTGAGGGGCAGCTCCTGCCCTCAAGGAGTTTGCAGGGGCGTCATGGCTACGTGTTGGGTGGCTAACCGCGTGGCCAGCAGTTTGAAACCACGAGCTGCTCCGCATGAGAGGGACAGTCTCAGAAACCCACCAGCGCAGTTCAGCCCTGTCCTTCTCGGGTCGCTATGAATCAGAACCGACTCCCTGGCAGTGAGTGAGTTTTGACAGTGAGGAGAGATGAAATGAGGCATGCGTGATGATGGAAGTAGCACCATGTGCTGAGTAGCCCAGAGAGATAGTTAGTTTATTGTGCCAGCCTGGCCGATAAACACAAGTGGGATTAATTGAAGGGTGGAGCGATGAAGGGCTCGGTAAGCGTTGCCTTTCTTGTCTCTCGCTCTTTGACCATCGGACCAGTGTGCGGCTGCCTTGCTTGTTCTGTGCCTCAATTTATAGGCTACATTACCTGTGGGACACCTAGCCTGTGGACTGTGTCGCTGTAAGTTGAGGTCCCTTTAAGACCACACGATTTAAATGTGCTTCTCTTGAGCTGGGGACTGACAATTGGTGACTTTGAAGGACTGCCAGTGTCTCACAACTCTCAGTGAGTTGCACTGAGCCATTTGTACTGCTTTATAATTTAACAGTTCATTTCTTGTGTTATATATCTATATTTAACTGTTCATTTCTTATGTTATATATATATATCTTTATAAATATATATATATAATTATCAGCCACCTGGTTTTATCTCTCTAGAGAACCCTGTCTAACACATTTTGGTACCAGTTCTTCTAGAGAAATAAAATCATAAATATGGGCTTCTTAAATTGGCTCTCCAGCCTGATTAGTCTTAACACTAGTGATGCTACTTCAACATCCCAAGGCATGGATAAGTCTGCTACTCTTCCTAATCCATGGTGTGAAATAGCAAAAATAATACCTAAAGTAGCACCACCGATAGATGAGATGCTGGTTAAAGGAGAGGCTCTGAGTGATCGTATGTTTGATATTTTCTAGGAGTTTTGTAAGGATGACAAGTTTAGGGAAACTGGCTGGCTGGTCCTTCTTACAACGGAAAGTGTGATTGAGGAGAGGGATGGTCTCAGAGCCTCAGAAGCGCGCCTCAGGTGCAGGCTAATGGATTTGAAAACTTCCATCTGTGCTACAAAGGAGAGCCTTCTCTCCTCTAGTAAAAGAGCTGGCATTACTGAGAATCAGGTCCACAGTCTCATTATACGAGTGGCTGAATTACAAGGGCAGCTGGAGTGCAGATCTAGAGCAGTGTCTGAAACCAAAGTGAGGGCATTGATTGGGAAAAGTTGGGATGCTGAAACATGGGATGGGAACATATGGGCTGATGATCCAGAAGAGGATATTGAGCCCCTAGAAACAATTGACTCACCCCAGTCAATAGATCACCCCTCTCAGCTGAAAGTATTAATTCACAATCCACACCTGAGCAGATTAGCCAAACT